GTTTTCCTTTGCTAAAGTAAGGAAACTTTGCTTCCTTTGCTCCTGTTAACAAACGTTGGTTTTCATGAGACTCACTGGCACATGCGCAGCGCTGACCTCAAAGGTCAACCACCCAGAGCTGCTTCCATTTACAACAGTGAGCGCAAGCTAGATTGAAGTGATTATTACGTTTTGAATATGGATATTTTTCTTACAAAAATGCATCGATTCACTACAGAAGGCCTTTGTTCACCCCCCGGAGCCGTGTGAGACACTTTTTATTTATGGATGGGCGCTTTTTATTTAACTTGTTTTGGACTGAAGCATGCAACACCCGCTGAGTGCCATGAAACAGCTTGAAAGATCAAAGACAATTTTTAATATAACTCCGACTGAATTCGTCTGAAAGAAGAAAGTCATATACACCTAGGATAACTTGAGGGGTAAGTAATTTATGGGCTAATTTTCATTTTTGGGTGAACTAACCCTTTAACATGACTAAAGCACTTATCGTCTGCTTTTGTTGCCTCTGAATAGCCAGAGATTCCGAGAAAGAAGTAACATGAATTCAAACATACAAAACAAGCTTTGTATAAAATTTTAAACCACAGCATGTCATTTGAAGTTTGACCTCATTCTAACAGGCAGAAAGTGACATATGATCACCCAATATAAAGAGATAAAAATGAGAAAAATGAGAAGTACCTGAGCCAAAAAGCTGTTTGCACTGGTAGTCAAATGTCTGGCAATGGCCCTCAAAGCAGAAGGCTGCATTATTTGCACACGGGAGGCCGTCCATCATGTAGAAATCTGCCGGACAGAATGGAGATGTTACTCTGGCAGATCACACGGGTTGACGGACGGTCTGCAGGGTGTGCCGGCCACATTGATCTGCTCACAATAAACCAGTGTTACACTGTTACAAAGATCTTATTTCACTTTTTTAAAGAATAAATCTCATTAAAGTCTTGTTCATTAGTTATTTACATATACATTAACATTAATCCGGATTTGCTTCTTAGATAAATGTACCTTATTTAAGGATGTTTACACTGGACAATAAGACATTCATAAATGACTAAGAAAATAATTTTTTGCAGTGCAAGAAAATTAAAAGAGGCCAAATAAATAACTTTTTTCTACATTCAGGGTTAAAGTAATAGTTCCCCTAAAAATGGAGATGTAGAGGAGTTTGTTTCTTCATCACAAAACCATTTGGAGAAATTTAGTATTACAACACTTGCTCAACAAAGAGTCCTCTGCAGTAAATGGGTGCCGTCAGAATGAGAGTCATAAAACATCACAATAATCAACAAGTAATCTACATGACTCCAGTCCATCAATTAACATATTGTGAAGCAAAAACCTTCAAAAAATAAATTCATTAAGATATTTAACTTGACAAACCATTATTTCCGGCTAAAATATGAATCGTCTATGCATAATATTGCTTCTTCTAGTGAAAAAGCTGTCTGGCGTGAATCAGGAGAGAAATAAATACAGATCAAGCACTGTTTACATAAGGAAACAGTCTAAAACATTAGTCATTGTTTGAAACAATAGTCATTATATGACTATATGACATTATAT